GAGACCTTGAAGGCTTGCAGTGAGCAACTGAAACTGGATGGTTTGAACTTTACCAGCTGTCATAACAGCATGAGGCACAGAGCGGTGAAGATGGAGCCCAAATTGATCTCAGCTTCGCTGTAGTTTATTAAATCCTTGAGGAACTCCTGGAGTTATAGCTACTGTTGTTGTAAGTGTGTGATAAAGACCAGGCATTATCATTCCTTTCAAAATACTCCTTAGCTGCTCAGTAAAACATCAAGGAAAAAATAAAACTATATGGTAATAAAGCCTAACTTTAATCTGAGCCAGACCAATTTGCTCAGGGAAATAATCCAACCTCCTGGCTATCTTTTGACTGAGTTATGTTTTTGACCTCCATTAAGTGATGGAAGTTAGGCGTTCTCTTTGGGTGTAGCCATCCTGGGCCGACTTCTCAGCTAAAGTCTGGATAGGTAAATTTAGCCCATCTCCGAAAATGTTCAAGCACTTCTCACATTTTGTTTTAAAAGAGAGCAGATATTTGGGGTTTAGTAGAAAGTAGGGGTGGAACGGTTCACAAAATCCACGGTTTGGTTCGGTTCACGGTTTCGTGGTCACGGTTTTCGGTTTGGTTCGGTATATGTTGGTTGTTAGCCTGACATTTTGGTCGTGTTGCTGTTAGCATAAACAAAACATGTTGCACAATGCTTGCACACTGTTGCACTTTTATCCACAACTTTCTTTCCGCTGTCATCGTAATAATAATAATACATTTTATTTCAAGCGCCTTTCAAAACACTCAAGGTCACTGTACATATAAAAACAATAAATGGTAAAAAGCAGTCGTCATAATTAAAAGAAACAACACAAATTACACAGAGGAAAGTAATATAAAATCATAATGAAAAGGCAATCTTGAACATGTGGGTTTTGAGTTTGGATTTGAATACGGGTAAAGACTCGGTTTTGCAGATGTCAGAGGGGAGAGAATTCCAGAGTGTGGGCGCAGAACGTGAAAAAGCTCTGCTCCCCATGGTTTTAAGACGGGCTGAAGGAACAACTAAGTGAGTGGTAGAAGAAGATCTAAGAGTGCGGGAGGGAGTAGAAATGTGAAGTAAATCAGAAAGGTATGGAGGGGAGAGATTGTGAATAACTTTAAAAGTAAGTAGGAGGATTTTGAACTGAATTCTATACTTCACAGGTAGCCAGTGGAGCTGCTGCAGGACTGGGGTGATGTGATGAAAAGAAGGGGTTCTAGAAATGATGCGAGCTGCTGAGTTTTGTACTGACTGAAGCCTGTGAATGGATTTTTGAGGAAGACCGAAAAGAAGAGAATTACAGTAATCAATGCGGGAAGTGACCAGACTATGAACAAGAGTGCAGGTAGAGCTAGTGGAGAGAGAGGGGCGAAGGCGATTGATATTGCGTAAGTGAAAGTAAGCGGAACGGGTAAGGTTGTTAATGTGAGAGGAGAAGGACAAGGTACTATCAAGGATGACACCCAGACTCTTGACCTGAGGTGAGGGGGAAATTATGGAGTTGTCAAATGAAAGGGAGAAACTGTCAGCTTTGGATAAAGTAGATTTTGTTCCCACTAAGAGGATTTCGGTCTTGTCATTATTCAGTTTAAGAAAGTTGAAGGTGAACCAGGATTTTATTTCGGTTAAGCAGGAGATTAATGAAGGAGGTGGGAGTGAAGAGTTTGGTTTACAAGAAAGATAGAGCTGGGTGTCATCCGCATAACAGTGAAAATTGATGTTGAATTTCCTAAAGATATTGCCAAGGGGGAGAATGTAGATGATAAAAAGTAGGGGTCCTAGAACAGAGCCTTGGGGAACACCGGTGGTAACTGGAGAGGAGTTGGAACGATATGACTTAATCTGAACAAACTGAGTGCGGCCAGAAAGATAGGATTGAAACCAGGCTAGGGGAGTGTGAGTGATGCCAATTGTATAAAGTCGATGGAGTAGGGTAGAGTGTGAAACTGTGTCGAAGGCTGCACTTAGATCAAGAAGAATGAGGATGGAAATTAGACCAGAGTCAGCTGCTATTAAAAGATCATTGATTATTTTTAAGAGGGCGGTTTCAGTGCTATGACGGGGACGGAAGCCAGACTGGAACTGTTCATAAAGGTTGTTGTGAGTTAAGTGAGAATGAAGTTGAGAAGCGACTGTTTTTTCCAATATTTTTGAAATAAAAGGTAAATTTGAAATTGGCCTGAGATTATTGTAATTGTTGGGATCTAGTCCAGGTTTCTTCACAATAGGAGTGATAATAGCAGTTTTGAAAAGAGATGGAACAATTCCAGAACCAAGAGAGGAGTGGATGATGGCAGTTATGAAGGGGAGGAGAGCGTGAAGGCAGGATTTAACCAGGGCAGACGGGATGGGATCAAGTGGGCAGGTGGAAGATTTAGATTTGTTGATAAAATCAGAAATATCGGAGAGGGTAGGGAGATAAAAGCTGCAAAAAGGCTGGCAGGGTGAAGGGGTTATAGGGGAAGGGGGTGACAGGATAGGAGGCAGGCACTGGTGAATTATTTTGATTTTATCATTGAAAAACTGCATAATCGAATTGCAGGCGTCGGTTGAGCATAGGTGGGGAGGAAGAGAAGCTGGGGATTTGAAAATATTGTTAAACACCAAAAACAGAGTCAGAGAATTACTTTCGTGTGAGGAGATCAGGTTGGAATAGTAAGTGGATTTAGTTTTAGTGATTAGTTCTTTATATTGAGTTATCTGAGTTATATACATTTCACTGTGAATTGTTAAACCGGTTTTCTTTTTAAGTCTTTCAAGTTGACGGCACTTAGCCTTCATGGTCCGGAGTTCAGGGGTAAACCAGGGGGCGGAGTGGGAAAAGGTGACAGTCCGGGATTTTGTTGGGGCAAGGAGGTTCAAAATATCATTTAAGCAGTTATTGTATTGAGATGTCAGTTCATCCGGTGAGGAAGAAGAATCCAGGATTAAAGTTCTTAGGATGTGTGAAGAGAGAGTGTCCAAGTTAATGTTCTTAATGTTCCGGTATGAAAGGAGCCGTGGGGTCTTTGCTGTGAAGAGACGAGGGGAAATGCTGAATAAAAGGAGGAAATGATCAGATATGTGAAGATCCTCAGCTGAACAGTTAGAGGGGGTAAGACCAGAGCAACAAATTAGGTCAAGAGTATGACCTTTAGAGTGAGTTGGAAAATTGGAAAACTGATCAAAACCAAAATTGTCCAGACAAGATAGGAAATCTCTGGCGAGGGGAAGGTTAAAATTGTCCATGTGAATATTAAAATCCCCCACCAATATTACATTGGGTGAGAGAGAGGAGAGGAGGGTTAGAAGATCTGTTAGTTCATTTAAAAAGTCACTATGTGGCTTGGGGGGGCAATAGACGGCCGCAACAATGGTAGGTGTAGGGCCAGAGAGTGTACAGGACAGGCATTCAAATGAGTTGTAGGAAGGCACAGTGACGGGAACCACCTTCCATTTCTCGTTGTAGAGTACCGCGAGACCGCCTCCTTGGCGCGTCACGCAGGGCTGGCAAAGGTAAACAAACCCGGGTGGAGTGGAGTCATTTAGTTGTGAATAGTTATTAGGCTGTTGCCAAGTTTCCGTTAGAATCAGAAAGTCCAGTTCACGGTCAACAAGGATGTCTTGGACGAGATGACCCTTGTTTGTAAGCGAGCGGATATTGAGGAGACCGAAGTTGAGGGTGATGTTTTGGAGTTTGACTGGAGGCTTAGCCGACCTAGCTGGGCTGGCTAGCACGCTGTGGTTCACAGTCCGATGGGATTTACGTTGAGAGCGGCGAGTTGAGGACCAGTAGGATTTAACAGGTTTGGAGTCGCTGGGATGGAAGAGTCGGCGAGATCCGCGGTGTGTGTATTTCCGGCGGGGTAGGAGAGCAATATCAGGGTAGAAGTTTAAAGATGCTGGCGGAGGTTCAGTCAGAAGTGAGCGGATGCGGAGGAGCTCTGTTGCGGTGTACTGGATTAGACCAAATCCAGGACGGAGAAGAGGCAACATGAAGATCAGGATTATTACGGTCCAGGTGAAAATCTGTGGAGGCCACATCATTTGTAGCAGCAGCTGGTCCGGAGGGTCGAAGGGCTGGATAGAGAGGCAGGTAAGATTACACTTTTGCCGAAACTTGACGAAGCATGAAGAGTATCCGTAACAAAGTTTCAGAGTAGCTCCAAGCGTTGGGTTGTGGAGGATTGTTCATTTAGTCCATGAAATTATTCGCAAAAATTGTAGAGCACAGCTGTCGGAGAGTAGCGGCGCCAGAAATCACGCCAGCGTCCACTCAACCGCCATCTTGGGCCTCGTAGGTCACTCTAAATGCAAAACGGTCCCATACAGTAGACCTATAAAGTGCTGCTGGCGCGTCTTCCAACTCCTGTTCTTTGCCACTCGCTATTCCGACACAATTCTCCACAATAACAGATTTTTTTTCTGCTACACCCGGCTACGCTGCTTCGCTTCTTCTTCTTCTTGTTTACTACTGGTGGTTGGCTTTGGTCGCAGTAGCGCCACCTTCTGCTCTGGAGGGTAATCGCTTCGCCTATGAGAAAAAGGAGCAGCGCATGACCCAAACGCAACACACGCGAATCGAACTGAGACAGTCGAACCGAACGGTTCAGATGGTTTTCATAAACCGTTCCATCCCTAGAAGACAGCTACATTCTCACCTAAAGACATCCTGAAAGTTCATTTTCTATCATAGTGTGAGAAATCAAACTTCTATCACGGCTTTTTTTTTCTCTGATTTCTCTTCCCCAATCCGCTCCAACCTGCAATCCATCACTGGATGGGGGTGGGCCACAAAAGATATACGGGATCTATCCTTCATATCTGAGAAAAAAATTGCGTTTTAAGGAACCTTTGAATTTTGGACAGTTTTTGTTGCCTCGCTGGGAAATACCAGGAATAAAAACAAGCCCATTGAAGGATGCAGACCCTTAATTTAAACACAGCTTATATTCCCTTTAAAATTATAAATAGTCTGCCTTCAAGTGTAATTTGTTAAAAATGCTTCTTTTTGCATCATACCTTCAGTGGTTGTGGTTTCAGGTGAGTGGGGCTCCTGGCCCCAGTCACTCGCTCTGATGATCTGAACAACCAGAAGCCTCCTCAGGGACACCAGGTCAGCATCTTTGAGCCCGCTTTCCAACTGATGAACAACGCTGTGTCCTGGCTGGCTGGTTACCACGGTAACCTTAGTAAATATGGAGACAAACTGATTAAAACCAACTTGTCTAGAAATAATTCAAACTATAGACAGGTGCATTGAATTTACAGAGCTTAGATTAGCAGTTTGCCCTTTAGGCTTTAGGTCCAAAGTGCTCATGCTAAAGTAAATATCTGTGTATAGAAGGAAATCTCTAGTTCTAATGTCAGGGTGAAGAACAGACAGTTGAAACCAGATGTTTTGCAGACATTGTATTTAAAGACATTCAATAATTTATTATTATTTGGATTACAAGTTTTATTTTATTGTTAAAAAAGTAAGGATTGTGAAACAACTTTGTGTTGTTTAGTCCCTGTGTATGCAAACCTCTGAATTTGAAGAAGATAATTACATGAAATACATGAAATATTAATAATTTGAGCTTTTACAATTATAAAAAAAGACATTTTGTTTTTCTATAAAAGAGAACGGATGATGCTGGTTTTATATTAGAATGTGAGAGAAAAAAATAGAAAGGTCATCTTTCTTTTCATGAAGTATGAGTAGCTCTGATTTCATCTGTTTGTCGGCTCTAATCATGCACATGGATGAAAACAAGCACTGTATTAGTAGATTGGCAACAGGCATGCAGACACACATAGTTTTTACTGTCTCTGCATAGTGTCACTGTGGTAAAGGTTGCTATTTATACTAGCTGATGTTGGGAACAGAGGGTCATCCATGAAATCTTCATCCCGAAAAAGATTGCGTCTGAAGTCTAAAAGCATCCAGAGCTGGTTCATCTCTCAGCTGTTTTTTACTACAAGTCTAATGACTTAAAAGCTTTGGAATTTAGAGCCTGGATAAAAGAAAAAAATGTTTACATAAACGCCACCAGAACCAAGATGGATAGAATAACAGAGATATGCGAGAGTATGTGTAAAATGAAATAATTGACCTCATGCACACTGATTACTAGGGGATGTAGCTCAGTGGTAGAGCGCATTCTTTGCATGTATGAGGTCTTGGGTTCAATCCCCAGCATCTCCATTACTTTTTTTGCTTTTTAACTTTCAGTAATACAACTTTCCATTAATGGATCAAAGTTGTGTACAAGTGTCAAGAATTATAGGTTCTCATGGAGCAAATCAGCCCTCAGAATTCAACTTAAAAGTAAAAATCTGGTTTCAAAGATACAATTCAAGGTGATATAGAGATCAGCTTTTAACAGATCAATATCTTTATGGTTCAGGACGGTCGACGATGGTAGGTCTGGAAGTTGAGTTTAAAAAAGTTTGTTTTTAAGATTCCTCTGACATTTTTCGAACTTGGGACTTTTCCAAAAGTATGATTAATTGACCTGTTTTCCTCCGCTGATCTGAGAAATTGAAGCTAGCCAGCAGTAAGCCAGGAGTTCAATAAATCCCTTGCCAAATATTTGTTTGAGACTTTCCAGAGGACATCCGGTTCAGATAGAAAAAAATGCCTATAAGGTGAGGCTCTATCTTTATTTACCTCCACAAACGCATTGCTGTAGGCCTGGTTGCCAGGGCTGGTGTGTCTGATATACTGCTTAAACTGCTGCAGACTGTCCAGCACCGCCTGTCGCAGTAGATCACATCCTTTGGCTGTGCTTTTGATGCAACCTTCACCTGGAATAGACCGTAGCTCCTCCACACAGGAATGCAGTCTGGGTAAATTGCCATGGACCCGCTATAAACAGAAAACAGCGAGACAAATGTAGAGAGGATGAAAGGGGACGTTGGAGGATGAATAATAAAAGAACTGAACTATAAAGTGGTGAAAGGATAATGTGTTTTTTTGGGGGGGTAATTTTCTCTAACCACAAATGGCAGAAGACACTCCTGCTGCCTGCTGATGGCATATAGGCTCAGCAGGGGAATCCTGCAGGGTCCATCCAGACTACAGGCCAGCGACAGGAAGTTATCCAGGGCATCACAAACCACAGAGCAAGTGTCAGACCAACAGGGCGGCAATGCCTCCACAATTAGGACCCTCGCTGGTTGCCGTGCAAATGAGGAACAACAGACCAAACTGGAAGAACTGGTTGGTCTCTTTCTATTGTCCATTGGTCCCTAAAAAAAAAAAATAAATAATACTAAACACATCCAATAATCTCTATCTTCTAAAAGCCAATAGCTGATAAGCAGATTATTTACAGTGCGCATATTCATATGGCTGGAACTTCAACATCGGGAACAGTAGTGTAATAGAAAACCAAGTTATGTATAGCCCTGATTTTTATTTTAATGAGTTATTAATTATTGAAAAGTATGTCTTCAATAAATACGATAATTAAATCTAAAAATATGTCAAAAATGCCAACAAATCTTTTAGAGCTTTCCTCCCAGAAAGTCTAAGTAACCTTAAAGTCGTAGGGAAGCGGCGGTTCCAACTGTTTGCATTTCCAAATTCTTCTGAGTTGTGCCCGATTTTACACGAGTGAATAAAGTGAATGTGATTGGTCGATTATCAAGGGGGCAGGATTGTTGTGGTGGAAGGTTCGCAAGCAAGTTTGATTGTGCCCAGTTTCTCTGAAGTATCTTCCTAACCAGTTAGCAAATTAGTGCTACTTGGTCCCAATAGGAAATTCCATTGGGACCAAGTAGCACTAAATTGGTGACTTAGAAACGACACTGTCAAGGAACGCTATGGACAGAGGAAACATGCAAGAGGAGGAGAGTTTAGTGTCAGAGGTCGGGGATGAATCTCCTTCATCATACATTTTTTATTTAGAGGAGGAAAGTGGGGACGAAGATGTTGTAGAAGAGGACACCAGGGCAGCAGAAGCTTTATTTGGTGTAGAAGGCCGTTGATGACCGTTGATGTAGGATTGGCCGAATTTAGGTGTACAAGCTGACGTATAACTGGACTGCATAAGATAAAGAAAACCCCCACAGATTTTAAGACAGGATTTTTTTTTTAATAGAGATTTTCAAAATTTTTGGACAATATTTTCTGATAAAGAGTACATTTATATACATCTTTAAGCCAGAATGATTGGATATTTAAATATGACTTCCCTACGACTTTAAAAGTCCTATATCATGCTTTCTTATGCCTTTCAAAGCCACCATATGCAAATATATCACAATATAATGCCTTTAGAACTACATGAGTATTCATTTGTTTTAAAATTATTGTTTTTTTTCCAACTCCGATAAAACCCAAAAAACAATTGCCTTCAAAGTAGGGGCTGGGCAAAACAGCCCACAAACACACCAGGAAGAAAGGTGTATACTGATCTCTGGACCTTAATTCATCAAAAACACACAGGAGTGATACTAAAAATCCCGTTTCTGAACCAAAATTTATAGATTGCAAAGGAAATTTGAAAAGAAGTCAAATTATAAGCTTCTGACACCAGTGAGACAGAAACAGTGCTTCATCAAAATGAGGTCAGTCAATCACAGGAAAACTACATCTCTTAAAAAAGGTGCACAAGCCCCAGATTAGTGAGACGATGTTTAGGAAGGAGCGTTCGTTAGACTTGAGTGTGAAACTGGGTTTTCTTGGTAACGGTGCCAATTAAAGTGGAGCATGTTGTTCGGGCCTCTTTTACCATTTAACATTGATGAAATAATTGAATATGTCAATAATCTTGAAAACACACCATTTAAACTATCAGTCTATTAAAAGCATGACCTTTTTAAAGCTCAAAAAAGACAACAAACCTTTGTCCAATGGTTACATTTAATGGAATAGACAGAGAGTCAATTTTGTCTCCAGGTTTTCTTTGGAATTGGGAAGATTTCTGGTTTGTTTCATCATTTTGCCATAAATTGGCACCGAGGCTCTATTATAGCATTTCCTTGTTAGGAGTTTAAGCACAAGGAAACACGTTCACACCACGCCATTAATAAAGCCTGTGCTAGAAAGATAAATAAAAAGCAGGGTGAGGAAAGCTCTGGACTGACTACCTGAAAAGTAGTTTCCTCTTTTTTTTTAAACCAGGGTGTCATTATTGGTTAAAAACATGTCCAAAAGAAAACTGACAGATAATTCTCCTTTTTCAAAGCCTGAGCTCCCACCAGCTGTCTTAGACTGAATTTCTATTGGAAACTAAGCCACCCATGACGATCACATCAAACACCTTTCACCCTCACACCTTCCACTTGCATCATCTGTTTTTTTTTTACTTTTCTCAGAAGTAAAACTTATCAGATTCAGTCCAACAGTGAAATATGGTCTCTGTAGGCATGCTGGTATTAGTCAAATATGGGTTGAAGTGTATTTTTTAAAGGTATTATTGTATTTAATGGAGGAAAAAAATATAAAAAACTGGACTGAGGAACTTACATGGTATAGCACAATCCATTTATGTATGTTTTCTGCTTTTATAATTTAATATCAGCTAGCCTGTGGCTTTGTTTTTGCTAACATCACTCATTATTACTGATTAATTTAAAACCGCTTATGATTTATGAGAATTTTGCACATTTTTAAACATGGACTCTCTCTAAACTAATATTAAATGGTTATTTTTAATGAATAATAAAAAAAATGGCTCGGCTAGCGTGTGAAAAATCTTGATGCATTCAGTAATTTAAAGTCTTTTTTTAATCTTGGAACTTAGTGATAGTGTTAACTTTAAAGAATAATGTAAAGTAAGGTGATGAAAGGTATTTATTTAAATGCAAAATATTCTTTGTTGCTGTATTTAACGGTTGAATATTAAACTATGCAGAAATAATACCCAAACTCCCTGACAATGCCATGACTTCTACGGCTTTAAACAGAATCAGCACCCAATATATTGGCTCATTTGTGGAAGCTCTGTTATTCTTTTCTATAGTCTTATTGCATAAGCATAATTTAGCAATATATATCGGGATATTTTGCATGTTTGCAAATATATATATATATCATTTAAGAAATTGTTTTTATAAACATTTTTTTAAAATAAAGCATTTTAATTGCCAAACGTAATGAATTTTAATGCCAATTCAGGCCTTAATTGAAAAAAAAAAGTATTATTTAATGACTTTTAAGGAAAACCCTGTATTTGCTAAATGTTTCATGATAACATCTAGTAAACATAAACATAAACAATTTGCTTTTATCTTTTCTGCTTCCAGCTCTCAAAGTTACATGTTATAGTAAATTTGAGGACATAAATTGTATTGGACTTTAGCTCTTAAACTGCAGCAATTTCTCATTCATTATCTAACAGAAATAATCTCAACATAATTCATTTTATTGCTCTTTGAGGTGAAATCGTTTTGACACACAGTGTCCATAATTTATTTAATTTGTTTTTCACCAATTTGGCTAACATCCTCCTGCGTTCATTTCAGCTAACTTTAAACTTAGCAACTTAAAGCGGCTTCTCCTGTAACTTGTAAAATCAAGAATGTGCTAAATGTGCTACAAGTGAAGAGTTTATACCTGTAAATGAGTCCAGAAATGAACTTCAGTAACTACACAAGAAAACTTTGGCTGCTAACTTTATGCTAAAAGCTCTCTAGCTAGCAGGCTATCATTTGCTAACGGCTAACAACATGCTAACTAGACTTATTAGCTTTTATCCTGTTATAAAATTAGTCGAAGTTACTGTTAAATTGGTTCTTCTTCTAAAAATATCAAACCTACCTTGGAGTTATATCCTCTTTTTAAATTTAAATATGATTAAATCTGATAAATGAGGTTGATAGTATTGGCTGAGGCACAAAAACCAGACTGTTTTAAAGATTTATAATGAGCAATCTTTAGCTGTAAATTTTAAATTATCTAAATTATTTTCTAAATTTTTATAATAAGTGAAAAAGGCAGTGGAAGAGCTTTTCATTGATACTTGCCTCACACAAAATAAATAAATAGAGGAAAGTTATAAAGCAGTTATTAGATAGATTTGCAATATCCCTTTTTAATAAAAAAAAATAATTGCCCACTTGTAACTCATTTAGAAAAGGTTTTTAATCTATAGCTTCATCATTATTGGTCAGAAGTTCAATATTACAACATATCAGAAACTCATATTTAAAGTACTAGGGGTGTGAATTGGCAAGAATTTGGCGATACCAGGCTGCTCAGTGGCGCAGTGGTTAGCAATGCTGCATGCGTGGGTTCTCTCCGTGACTGTTAGGTTTACTGGCTTCTCTAACACCTCCTTAGGTGTGAGTGTTTGTGTGACTGGCTGTTTGTCCTGCGATGGACTGGCGACCTGTCCAGGGTGTACCCTGCCTCTCGCCCGTAGACAGCTGGATAGGTACCAGCACTCGTGTAAGAAAATGGATGGATGTATTGATACGATTTATTCCGATATAATGAGATTTTTATGATACTATAGCTCTGGAGAACCTCACAGTATTCTGTTGCACTGCTACAATGACGCAAAGCAGCTGAATAACAGGCTCTCTGCGATGTACTAAACTAGGGACTCAGGGTTTAACAGTTATTTAAAAGTACGAAAATGAAATTGATATTTCTCTATACTTTCTCGTTTTAAATATTTCAGATTAACTTAATCGTGTTTTTAATCAATTCCAATATCTACTATTAAAATATTCCGATATTGGTATCTTATATTAAGAATACCGTACCATCTAGTGAAATATCACAACATTCGACAGGATCAGTTTTTTTTTTACATATTTACTGTACATTTGAAAATCTAGTTCCAAATTGTGCATAGATATAAACAGTTTGGTACATCAACAAAACATTTGTCGACTTTTAGTTAAATGATTCATGCTCAAGAAATATTTAAAAAAATGTTATTGCATAATTTTTTGAATTTCTTTTGTGAACGGTTTAGATTTTTCACATTAATGTTAAATATTAACAATGCCAAAATACACCAGGAGAGTAGTTTTATCGATGATATTAACACACTTTATTGTCATGATTGGTCTTTCTGTTATGTATTTGTTTCTCTGATGTAAAATTTTGGATTGCTGAAAAATCCAGTATAATATCCTTTAAATTATTTAAATATTTGTAAAGAAAATGAAGGTGTGGCTTGTACACTATGAGTATGTGGGGTAAGCCCATACAAAACATATTAAACCCTCTGTGCTAATGACAACCAGTTTGCTATGCTGTTGACTTTTATTTACTGACATTTACTCGATTT